GAATTCCAGAATGGCCTTTAAAAAATACAGAAATCAAAACAAAAATGCTGTACATGGTGCTCATGTAAACATAGATACATATTGTAAGCAACAATCATATATATTGATAGTGCTTCTAGTCCATTTTATTGGCGCATGACAACAACTGTGTTCAGTCTGTTACATTTCCCAGTCGTTAACGATTGTGTGCAGATTATTTACATAATGACATATGTTTTTCTGTCATACTAAGCACTCCAATCAATAATACATGTAGTTAGAGAGATAATCACAAATTACTAGCACCACTCATATAATATACTGTCACCAAACACGCAGCATTTGATAACCGAACAATTTGACAGTAATGCAAGGAATTACACCAATTACGTAAGGCAATCCAATCGGAATTCACTGTAATTCTATGAAGTTGTCGTAGAATTGACAATTACTGGAGATTTACGTTATGTAATTTCATTCTCAGTTGCTTAGATATGCTATCTATTAAATTAAAGTCTCACTTTTTTAAGAGAACATTACTCAGACCAAATTCATAACCTGCCCACAACAAAGACTTTTATTTATTATGTATATCGTTACCAAATGTTTAAAGCGCGGTGGTCGTCGCGCAGCGCGTGTTCGAATTTCATGTAAATAAAAAATGTATTTTACACGTGTTGTATACGTCGCTATGAGTCCCATATTGAACACGACGCGGCACAACGACTGCCGCCCTTTAAGCCAACAATTCTATTGATATGCTTAGTATTTTTTTCATTAGTTCATTAGCACTCTTCCACTCACCTATAGTGTTCCCTGGATACATACTGGGATTTCATAGATATATATTAATGACTTTTCCTCTGTGTTTCTTAATTCTTCAATTTTAAACTAAATGATATGACAATCCGGTCACTTAAATGATAATGTAAAGAAAAACGTTCGTTTCAGCACCGAGCTTGTCCTACCTATAAAGTTAATTATTATACATCTGTCACCGTAACGCCATAAGTTACAGCGTGCCGTAATTTCGCAGTATTGCACTGGGTATTCTCATCCTACCATATCAGGAAACGCGAATTCCAAATATGGAATGATAACGCGCGTAAGCTGTCACAAGGGTTTGACCAGACCCGACACCAAGAAGTTCGCTAAATCTGTTCTAAACGTTTCAGATTTCGGCATTCCCATGATGGGAGGAAAACATGTATAATATTTATGTTATTACGAGACACTGCAAAGTATGCACGCGGTCGCATCAGTCCACAGTGCATACTTTGCTGTATCCTCGTTATAACCTCATATTTTCTCACATGTAATGTCAGTAATAAACTGTGTCACTAGTTTTCCATTGCTCGGAAAACAAATCTCAGTCAATTCTCCCTAACATAATGCAGGACAAAGTTGAGGAATTTTATTCCAATCCGAATTAAATGTATTAGCAGTTGTTCCACCTTAAAATTACATAATATCTAATTTATCTTATGTTGATAAATAAAATGTTTTCGTCGTTTTTGTCCTTACATATACTAGTATCTTCTCACATTTAGCTTCTTTAAATTGTTCACCAATACTATTATTATTATCGTTATAATTAGTGCAGAAGTACATAATTAATGAGCATAATAAGTGATAATGTTATACTATATCTTTCCAGAATACTTAGTATGTCCACTCCGTTTCATGTATTTTTGTCTTGCTAATTTGACTATGTAGTGTAGTGTAGTGTAGTGTCAGTTTTGTTTTATGTTCTTGGAGCAGTAAATTTCCTTATAAATTTCTACTTTCCAGTCATATTAACATTTTCCTTTTATTTTACAAATTAATTATTCACACCGAAAGCTCTGTTATTGGGTGTATTTAAAATAGTTGGGAAATAAATGCAATAAATATCAGTACACATATAACCTAGTTTATGCAAATTCATCGTGATGGCGGTTACTAACCCGACCAAGCCAAATCGCTCAACAATATTGAAAATGCTTTCTGGGCATATGTTTTTTTATTCACATTTGTATAAGTTTTCAGTAGTTAACATACATTGAAATCGATAAACAAAAACATATTGAATCAACTGAAATTATATATTTTAAAATTTCTGTTCAAACTGTTACAGTAAATTTAACGTTTTCAATTACAATTAGTTTTATGGACGACAAAGTGTTTTGCTGCTGATTTGCATACAATTCATGTAATTCTTTTCTTAACAAAATTATGTGGACTTTATATTGTAAAAGATCAAATGTGTCAACCCCGGAAGTTGTTCACTTTTATTTATGATACGATATTTGCCACTAATCATGCCTTTTAAACTGAATATTTGTTCTAAATGTCAAAATTGGTGAAACTAAATAATAATATAAAATAAACAGCCAGTCAGCTGATATAGCTCCGCTATTTCAGATGCATAATGAGAAAGAAATATCAAATCAATCAGTGTATTCACTAGAATGAGATAAAATCAGTCATTAATACCAATTAACCTGAAACCTGAAAAACTTTCGCAATTTTATGATGAAAAATATCACGATTCATGGGCGCCGCCATTTTGTTTAAAATGAAACGCCAAAGAGGGATTTGTAACACGCAAACTGATTGGATAATGACTAGCCGCAACTGACTACTGGAGGCGCTGTTAGTTTTGAAAATATCGTCATTAAATGAACAAATCTGAAAGAGGTCCATGTGAGGTAACTATATATTGATTATTAAAGCAATAAGCATTATGACTAGCTCAGGTCAACGAAGTCAACAACATAGCTAAAATATGTATTAAGCCAAACACCTATAGAATTTTGCTGAAAAAAAGTTATCCATGTGTAATCGTATCTCAGTAAGGTACTCTTTCGTGTATGACTGGATACCGTCCTTGATTTTGCTTAATTCGAAAAGTTAATTTAAATCGTCAAAATTAACAAATTTGTTATCTTTAATAAAATGAACCGAAATCGTCATATTGGATTGCAGTTATAGGGGGTCATTTTAAAACTTAGTTAATCTTAGTTATTCGCTAAGATATTTACAGGTTATTATCCTATACAAAATGTGGCACGCGACACACGTACACTGTGACAACACACAATCCTTGATACGGCTACAGAACATTCACTTAAATGTCGGCAATTTCGTGGTATATTTTCGTTAAGATACTCCTACTCGGCCGTTATCCTTAATTAACATTAATTAACTGTTTTGGGACCTCGATTCGGTAAGAATTTTTAGCGCTGTGAATCTCGGAATCTACCTGTCTGATATTGTGTTATTTTCTGAATGAGCTAAGGGGTGATTTTTATGGGTGAGCTAAGGGGTGATTTTTTATGGAATGCAATAATGGTCCATTATGACACATACATGTATGAGGTGAGATGCCAAAGTTTAATACAAGTGAATAAAACTTATTTGAATTTGTTTTTTTATTGACTGTTTATTTCAAATTGATGTGCTTCGCTTTATGTAGCCCTGGAATCCACTGCGTTGTCAGAGTGGGCGTTATTTGTATTCGGTATTCGGCTGCCCACTAAAACACCGCCATGGATACTGGGATAGTAAAACGGGATGAATGTGCAGTAAAATGATGTGCACTGTCTTGGATCAAACAGATGAGCTAAACACAAACGAGTAACTACCAGAAGCGTGATTTCTCCGTAAAAATTGCACTTACACTTATGATTTGACGTAATTTATTTAAATTGCCGTCTACAGCGTATCGAAGTTAGGTTATTACCGGTTGTCCCGTGTAGATACACTCCGTTTTACTATAATAACAACAAATCATGGTGGGCAGCCGAATAACGTCCACTCTTAATACACCGCGGACGAAGAGACTCTTAAATGGGCTGACGAGTAGCTATGTATTACTTGACAAAAAATGAAATATGAATTTCGGTTCACACTATCTATGCTGCCTGTTCTAATTTCTGGTTGAAGGACTTTTATAAATCGTTGGTCTCAGACCTTCAATATCCGGCATATCCTACAGACCGAGTTCTTTTTGTTCCACAACTCCATTTCTTCTACTAGCTGGTCAACCATTTTGACCAGGAAGTTGCCCATTGTCTTTTTATACAGAAGAAGTCACGTAACACATGTACGCAGACGCACCTTGCAAACAACCACCAATGGAGCTTCGCATGTACGCCAATAACATTTACCATACCATAAGTGGTCCGATAATTCAACCAGTTAGTATGCGCAGCTGCAGTACTTAAAATAAACGAATAATCTGTTTTCGAGTCTGATTTGTTTGTTCTCATACATTTCCAAGGACTTTTGTAAGATCAAGTGATACCAAATACGCAACATTGACCAGGTTTTGCTATGACAAAACGATGTTGGTGATTGGATTTTTGATCATATGATATTTCGGGTTAAATAATGAATATTCATAAGCCACCTGCCACAATTTCAGTATGCAAATTGTATGCAAAATGTATAATAAAACTGTCTATTGCGTAATTGATGTTTTAGGGATGTTATAACATTTTCTATTTAAAAATTGAGGCAAGGTTCCTTTTGCAATTCCGAATTTCTGTTTATACCACTCTTTGTATTGCCTCCATTGTACTAAGCATGCCTTATGGTGTTTACAAATAAGTCGGACAGTGTTGATGCACTGCCACATACATCATCCCAATCATCTCAATCGAACGCAGTTTCTGAAGGCTAGCTGAGCTAAGCAGGTGATTGATGAGTGATTCGTCACATTATATATATATGTATTATATGCACAGTTTACATCCGGAGAGTTTTTTTCTGATCTTATCATTGGACCATTGTTATACAAAAGGAGTTACAGCAACCGCGATGTGGGTTGTAAAATTCCTGGTAAAACGTGTACATTTACGTGCATACATAGTACAATATGAAGTAAATCTCATCGGCCCGAAACTATATAGATTATTCCCGTAAGTCTCCTCGTACCTATCGGTTAACTTTTAGTTGATATTCACGTAAACGTACCCTAACTACCAGTTATAGGAAACATACAATTCTTCTACGTACCCGTATGTTAAACACTAACATATAGTGAGTCCACCATTGTTTATTACACCCAATACCAATGCTAATTACTAATCTATACATAAATTTTTGTCATTTATAATATTTATATATTATACATAACTCAGTATTATTACTGACTGGTTCCTATTCACTATATCATATACTTTTTCGTGTAGTAATAAAGATGACTGCTCCAACATCGATCTTCCAAAATTTGATGTCCTTTTCTGTGGAAAGAAAGTAATGCACTTTAATATTTATTGATATGTACATAAATATATATGTCATTACATAACATACATTATCACGAGATTATTTGGCACATGTTAATGAAAATAAACTTTTTATTAAATTATAGAATCAATATGTACATCTAATTATTCTATGAAAAAATGTATTATAAATGGAACATACTTAAAACAGTAATCAAAACAACCCGTGACTATATTTGCATACTTGCATGTATTTTGAATAGTAAATAAATCATACAGTCACGTAATTTTAAAGCATTTTATATGTTTGCCAGTCAGCTACATTTCACTAGAGCCAAAATGTTGGTCACATATAATTTCTGATCATTTAATGATCAATGTAGCAACTCCATTATTCATCTACAAATATGCAAATTAGTGTACTAGTATATCTTTGTTCTAATTTTGACATCAAAATAATTATTCAAATGAGTACTACTCAGTGAGCACCAGATTCCTTTTCAGAAATTGTAGATGTAATATATATGAACATAAAAGTCACAGATTCATAATAGATATTTAAAAAAAACAAAATAACAAGAACAAATTAAAAAACAAAACAATTGGGGCATCCAATTTAATTTCTCTACAGTATTCATTTAAATGTCCAATAAGGGATTTATTTACATAACTGTAACATGACTGCATGACGTTTGCATCTAACAGCACTTGATGCATGTCAGAGACAGAAAAACACGCCGACTTACATTTATATTGTGCCTGACACATATCTTCGGCTTTTTGTTGGCTTGTTGGCTTCGTTCTTTAGACGACATAGTTTACTTATCTTGTGCCAACTCCACGCAACACAGTTTCTGGTTGCAACACAGAAATCGTGACAGTCGCATGATTTTTCCTTCTTTGCTCTTATTCCCATGCTTCCCCCTTTTCTATTTTTATTGTCATTACGCCGACACACTGAAATTGGATACGAAATAGAGGGGTGTCATACAATGTAATGTTGTCTTAGCATATTAATACAATTGCAATTCATACTCATTGCATTGCATTACACCAACATAAATTTACATAAATTAACATAAATAGCTGCGTAATCGATGCTGGGATTATTTTAATACTGGCCTTGTAAATGGAAGACAACAAAAAACGAAATTATGCAAGAAATAATGTCACTCACCATCATTTTTCATACCGTAAGTTCCTTTACCAACTGTGGCATTTGTGTTAGAATCTCTGTACAGTCTGCATGTACGTCCACGTTTCTGAAACGTCCACATCTGACATTCGTCACCCAGATCCTCACAAGCCTGATAACAGCCGCATGCCTTCTTTTCGTGTTGTTCGCCAATTAAATACTGGCCCGTTTTCACACTATGGCTAATTTTTGGGCAAAATCCTATAAATGTAAAAAAACCGATAAAACACTTATGTTATCCTCATATACGTTAAATTGTTATGTTATTTAAAATGACACTATTTTATTTCATATACTCACGCGGGCCGCTGGTGTAGGCGCCGGCGTTGTACACCGCACCGGCTATTATGACCTAAACAGAACGTAAGAAGAATATATGAACTAGGCATTAGAACACACTTTTGGCAACCGTCAAGTTTGCAAAGACGTGTTAAAACTATAAAAAATAGTATGTACTGATATAGACTGCAGGATTTGAGGTACGCACCATTAATATCAGAATGATTTTCTCCATTTCTGCGAAACTATAACCCTGCAAAGACATACCATAATATAAGACTACATTACCTAAAGCACATATGGAGGGAAATCTTTACTAAATTTGTAACTAGATTCATGAAATATAAGCGATTACGTTTACTTTAACTTGTACAGAAGAGTTTATTACTTTTATACTACGTTTCTTGATATTATAGTTGGCAAAACGGTACGACACTGCTACTGTAGTACTATTCTAACAAAGTGTCGTACGTGTCTCCAAAAATATAGGAGGATTATAATACCTATAAGAAATGCTTACTACTCACCCATACGTCAGGAAACTGTCCGTGTCCGTGCTGCACTGATAGACTTGTTTACAATACCGGGGGCATACCAACTGTATTGTAGACTTATAGTGATCTACGCGTGTGTAGCGCCCCCTGGAGACACGTACACTGTGACGTACTGTCAATGTGGCCTAATAAGTGTCTTTATTTAAGTGATCAATTATATGTTGTTACCTGATTTACAGCAACCATGTTTAATATTTGATTGCGACAATAGTGCGACGATTTCAAATGAAACTTAACTGCTAAACTTTGGCAGTACTGCCTTATTTGGCATGTGATCCGGATTCGAGGATACAGTGTAACTACTTGATTACCACACACATGTCACCAAATGGTAATATTTATAAAACAATACTTGATGACAGCCGTTGTATTGGGACTGTAGAATTACAAGCAGCAGTACCTTCAATAAACAGGTTAAATCTGTTTCGACATAAAAGTCGGATTATTTTAAAAATATAATTGTCCTATTTTCCGTCGGACTGTTTCATCTATTTTACATACAACGATTCAAACCGCTCCTACATTCAACTGTACTTTATCCCATACCCCAACCTATATACATTAAGATTTATTTCTATATTATACATGCAGTTTAATTTTATTTCCAGTAAATGAGTTTTGTATAAAGCTGGACCAGACTCATTTATGTCGGGCGAGTGGAATATAACAATAAATAAACAATACATAAATAAATAAATAAATCAATAAATCAATAGATTATCATACAACAGCTTGAACACAATGTGCCGTGATCATTATTGCCCAATATGTTTCCATGGTGATCTCAATTCTGTGAAGTTATGACAACGTTTGTATTGACGAATGTCTATGATCCAGGACAATGATGTCATATATAAGGCCATCGTTCTGAATATTGGTGAATTCATTTACATAATCTCTTCTGTACAGGGCAGTCAGTAATTGGTGTTTCTTGGAAATCGACAGAAAAAGCCACCGGAATTTTGGATTTCAAAGTTTCACTTAAACGTTTGCGTAAATTGTGACATTCAGCATATCGTTATATGTACGACAACTGTATAACTAATGCTATTGTTTGTCGTTTAAATTTAGAAACTAATTGTGACGAAAGTTCGCCTTGTTCTGTAGAGCAGCTTTGTTGCGTCAAAGTTTGAAGTCCGAATATTGCCTTTTGAGTACCCACTGATAAAATATGTTATTTTTATGTGCTTTGTCAATTATGCCACATGCCAAACTGCAAGTAGATCGGTTAATTACAACTGCTCTAATCTGTGGCCATTTCCCCCTGAAATTTAAGATAGCGAACAAACTACGTGACTGAATAACATTCAAGTTATTTTATTATATTTATAAGAACGTGGCCACACAAACTACATGCAAATTATCCAGTTGATCGCTTGAAGCACTCTTGAGAATGCCCCACATTTTTGGCGAATTATTTGTTTGCTGTCGAAAAGAGTTCAGTATAAAGATGCAACATGACAAATTTCAAAATAGAATAGATATATTTGTAAAAAAAAATACTTCCTGTTAAGGAGAAATAAATGACAGCCAAACCACATGACCAATCATAAAAACTTTAATGAGAATTACACATAGATGCTAAAAACATATTTCAGATCAATGTGTTCTGTCGCTCTGAAGAATCAGATTTTTAAATGTTTACCTTTTATCGCGGGAAGACGTCACGTGACCGCATTAAATTCTCCTTTAGAGACAATGATATATTGTATACACTGTATACTGAGTATAAATGTAAGTATGTCATAGTATTACGTAATAATTATATTATGCAAACAATATGATTAATGCGTCAGGCAATCACATATATTATTATTATAAGATACCTATAATATTAATAAATTATATTCAAGGGTAGACTGCTAGCTTTGTTTGTCCTGTTACCTACACACTTTACAAAGGTATAAATTAATAGACAATAAAAATGCACCACAACGGTATAAAACGACATGCCATTTGTATCCGGGTATGCGAACTCAAACAAAACTACATGTTATTCTCTCATGAATAGCACACATTCTTGAACACACTGAAGGTAAAACAAAGGCTCACAACTAACAAATGTCTGATTATTAATAATAATTTAATAAAATATAGAAATATGCTCATAGAAAGTTAACAGGGATCATATAAATTACAAACTTGCTCGAACATAAATCAACTATATATATATATATATATATATATATATATATATATATTAGTATGCATAATAACTGATAGTTGTGCACAGTGCAGTCTGGAGAGTTCTTACTAATACACAGTAATACATTTTATAATTATCAAATGACAATGTATCAAGTAATGCAGTAATGTAATGTACTGATCTGAACGTGTACATGTGACCAAATGATGTGGATGTCTGATTTCGTAGAACCACTGTAATTTATTAAATAATATTGCATCATGGGAGTTTGGGAAATATTTTGGAGGAGGTTGTTTCACCGAAGCTTACAGTGTGTTAATATACCGATTTTCACTTGTTCACTTATCATGCATTTTCCCGTGAAGCTTATAAATGCACTGTGTATTGTCATTCAAATCGCGGACTGACTTGTGGTGTAAGGGAATACAATCGGTCAGCTCTCTTTGGTAGGGTATTTTGAGTGTGCAGAGTGTTCTATAATTGGGGTTTATGTCACGTATGAGGTATGTAAGGGGGTCTAAAAACTAACTTTGCGACGCAATTGTGCGACTCGCCGCATGTCGATTATTGCACTCTGCGAAAGGGTCGCAGTGTCTATCAGGGGGAAAATCTTCTCTCTGAGGTTCTCCAACCCGTGTCAGGGGGAAATCTCGTCTCTGTATCTATACACGTCTGCTTGGGGTACGGGATCGGGAAAGTCAAATAGACACACACCACGAAATACGTTTCAACTCTCGTCTTTAGTCGGTCAGTCGAGTACTCTATAAGAAGACACAGCGCCCTGGGGAAAAGTCCCCAAAACTATCGCAAGGCTGGCCCAAGACTCTCCTAGACTGCGTCTCTCCTGGTGTACTCGCCAAGACCAACTAAAAACAATGTTATTCACTTTCAAAACCCTAACCAATTACAAAGCAGTTAAAAGACTCTAAGGCGTGGCCTTCACACATACAGCCGACCTCTCATGAGCCTAAATGATGACAGACATAACACAGCCATTCGCTAGTAATCAGCTAAATAAGTCAAACAACAGATACGCGCAAATAAATTCGTGACAGTCACCTTGTGAAGAGAACGATTCCCATTGGTTGGTTGGTCGAAAAGGGTTAATCCCAATGGTTGATCGATGCCCATATTACATATTACTTATGCCGTTCACGGCATGCCTTATAGAAAAATTTAGTTTTAAATGGTTATTTCGCCCACTGCTCTCGAACTACGGTAAACAAGTGTGTAAACACTATGTACCGGCGACATGCCGCACTGTTTGGTGTTCGGCAAGCTTTCATGTGTTTGACTAGACTGGCACAGTTGGGACTGCTTTTTACTTTGGTCAAATGAAAACGTTAACCAAGAGTTCGTCAAAGCACTTTCACAGTTTTCATTTTACCTTTTATATTTCCCGTAATTTGATAATAAAAATTCGAGTTACTAAATTTGAACGTTAAACAAAACAAGAAATATATGTTACCCGTAATTCGAAGTTCGATTACCTGTTAATTAAAGTTTGATTTAAAGTTCGAAATTCTGTTAATTGTTAGTTGGACATCGAGTAGAAATTTTGGTTTTGGAAAAAATGGGCGTGGTTTCTGAAATATTGGCGTGGTTGTTTTTGTAACTCGAACTACTCAGCATCTCAACATGCAATAATAATTCAGTAGAAATGAAAGATCATTCGAACCAATCTCTGACATACTCCCGCCGCGAAAGATGCGTCTAGCATAATTTTTGATAAGGTGCGTTTCATTTACTCCGTGATAAAGCAAGAATAGATAATTAGAATGTGCATGAATAAACACAAGTGTATTTCAGAAACCACGACCACTTTGGCGAAATCACGCTGTAACTCGACGTTAAGTTAACGGCTAAAACAGCTCGAGTGACGGGAAACATATCATTTTCCTTTCGTTTAACGTTTTATATTTACCGTTATTCGAAGTTCGGTTAACTAATAATGAAAATTCGAGTTGCTAAATTTGAACGTTTAACAAAACAAAAAATCTATGATGCCCGTAACTCGAAGCTCTGTTAATTGTTAACTGGACGTCGAGTTGGCAATTTGGTCGTGGTTTTGCAAAAGTGGGCGTTGTCATTTTTGTAACTCGATGTTCGTAGCAAACAAAATGCCCCGTCCAAGTGCATTCACGTGTGTTTGTTCAGCGATGAACTTACCTTCCACTGCATCTATCCGGTTCCCTCTTCATGGAATTTGCGGCACGCTCTTCTGAATTAGATTAGATGTAAAACGGAGAGAACCGCTTTGTATAACTCGCATAGATTGACTCTTATCATCGTTACCCCTAAGCGATTCAAGTCTCTGTCATACATAATTACCGGGGTCGACCTTGTCAAGAATAAACTGCATTTTTATTAATTTGTTATTGTAATGTTTATTAGGCTTTCGATGCATTTCAGCATCGAAAGCTTTTTGTTATTGTAATGTTTATTATTTTTTTTTTTTTATTATTATTCTTATTCTGCCGTTTTTTAAAACTCTTCTTCTCGAAGACGGGTTGCCCACTTGACTCGAGACTTTGTAGACATAATCTATATGCAATTCTCTAAAACGTCAAAGTTTCCGATTTTCGATAAGTGACGTCATTCGGCCGCCATCTTGGATTAAAGGCGAAATTTTCAATGCCGAATTGCACACCTTTCTGAGGGTCTGAGTGCTCCCAGTTGTTTATGGTAGCAGCAGTGGAAAAAGGGCTACAAATATCATCAAAAAAATCTTTAGCGGTCACGTGACTTTTTTTACTAGAATTTTCAAAAATTTTGTTTTGCAACTCATTTGCATATTTTTTGACTAATTCACTAACCCTGCATATATTTTGAAAGATCAAGTGCCATAGTATTTA